ACCTCAGGTTATGGGTAGAATGATGGGGGGTGGAGACACTAAAGGTGTGGGGGAAGCAGTAATGATGATGATGATGATGATGATGTTGGCAAATCTGAGCCTGAATGCATTTGCATTTCTGGTCTGATCAAGGCGTCCAACTAGGGGGTGTCATGAAACAGCAGCAAATACTTCACTTATTTATTGGGGGGTGTGTGAATAAGTAGAGGGGAAACTTGTGGATTTTCGTTGCCTCAAGCACTTGGTACCTTCACAATTTTACAGCGGCGCCATTTGCAGCAAAATGTTTTGAACTAGCACTGTGGTCTTTCACTGGCCCTCTGGTACACCTGAATGATGCAATATTCCATGTTCTTGTTCGTTTACGCAGGAAGAGAAGATTCCACCCCATCGGCACTCATTTTCCCACCCACGCCGGAGCAACTTAAAATGGATTCAGCCACTGCCGTGTGCCTGGTCAGCACGTTTCTACCCGAGCAACCTGACCGTGGTCTGGAAAGTGGACGGCACTCCCGTCACTGAGGGTGTCCAAACCAGCCCCCCCAGCATCAGATACAGACAACACCTATAAGCTGAGCAGCACCCTGACATTCCCTACATCGGATTTCAACACCCACGAATCATACAGTTGTGAAGTGACGCACAAAACGTTGTCCAGTCCTCTTGTGAAGAGTTTTAAGAGGTCTGAGCTTTCCAGATAGGCCCCTCTATAAAGCAGGATCTTCATTTACTGGTCCATTTATGGTCATTCCCCTGTTTACCATCCGTACCAGAAATCCCCCTAGTATTATGACTGTAGGAAATATCTCATATTGCATGTCCTTTCTCTGCAGTCTGTAACTTCTTCCATGACCTTTTTTCCTCTTACTGATATCCCGTTAACCTTGGGAAATAATATAAATGCAGAAATAAACGCATTATCTTGAAAAGCATGGTGTCTCCCTCCGCTTCTTGTTTTCAAGGTCGCAATCAATGGAAATCAAGCAAAATCAGATTAATTATAATACTTAATGGGGTGGCGGGTTGAGGGGAGAGGGCAGGTTGCTGCTTGCTATTGATCCTAAGGCATAATGAATCAACCGTAAGGAATCAATATGACGGAAACCGTAGGTGTGGTTGGTAAAAGATCTTAGGGAGCCAGTGTGGTGTAGTGGTTAATAGCAGTGGACTCGTAATCTGGGGAACCGGGTTCGCGTCTCCGCTCCTCCACATGCAGCTGCTGGGTGACCTTGGGCCAGTCACACTTCTCTGAATTCTCTCAGCCCCACTCACCTCACAGACTGTTTGTTGTCAGGGAGGAAGGAAAAGGAGAATGTTAGCCGCTTTGAGACTCCTTCGGGTAGTGATAAAGCGGGATATCAAATCCAAACTCCTCCTCTTCTTCTTCTTCTTCTAACTTCCACCTGCTCTGAAACGACTTTTCAAGTCCCAGCAAATATGGCTGCCTGTGGTTACTACATCCCTTTTTCCACTGAACGGCTGAGAATTTGTTGGTTGGTTGCCATGGTGCACAGTTAGAGGGCACATTTCCTTTAAAAAAAACAACAAAACTTTTTTTATTCAAAATTAAAACAAAACATATCATCCAAAAACATATCATCCTTATTCCCCCCCCCATTTTTCCTCCCTCCGCCCACCCTCCCACACAAAACCCACCCACCCACCCCGACCCCCCGGCTTCCCTCAGTTCCAGTTTTTGATTTCTCTATTAATGCTGTTTTCTGCCTTTTACACAGTTGTATAGATCCTCAAACTATTTAGCTGATTATTATCAATAAAGAGTTTGTGAATGTTTTTTCAAAGCCAGCCAAGGAGTCCAATTCGCTTTGCTGCGTCTTCAAATACTTTGTAAAGGGTTCCCATTCATCTTTAAAGTCACAGTTATCCCGTAGCTTATATCTCGGTTTTGCCAGTTCTGCATAGTCCATCAATTTTTCTTGCCATGATTCTTTAGTTGGGGTAGAGGGTACATTTATAGCACCAACCTATATCCATTTCCCCTTCATGGATCACTGCCTTGCCGTGGCGAAGGGGCTTGAATAACTCAGAGAAGCTATGAGCTATGCCGTGCAGGGCCACCCAAGATGGGCAGGTCATAGTGGAGAGTTTTGACCAAACGTGATCCACCTGGAGCAGGAACCGGCAAGCCACTCCAGTATCCCTGCCAAGAAAACTCCATGGACAAAGACAACAGGCATATAAAAGTTATGACGCTGGAAGATGAGCCCCTCAGGTCAGAAGGCATCCAACATGCTACTGAGGAAGAGCGGAGGACACGTACAAGTAGATTCAGAGCTGATGAAGCGGCTGGGCCAAAGCTGAAAGGTCGCTCAGTTGCGGATATGCCTGGAAGCGAAAGGAAAGTCCAATGCTGTAAAGAAAAATATTGCATAGGAACCTGGAATGTAAGAACCATGAACCTTGGTAAGTTGGATGTGGTCAAAAATGAGATGGCAAGAATAAATATTGACATCCTGGGCATCAGTGAACAAAAATGGATGGGAATGGGCGAATTCAGTTCAGATGACCATCACATCTACTACTGTGGGCAAGAAACCCGTAAAAGAAATGGAGTGGCCCTCATAGTCAACAAAAGAGTGGCGAAAGCTGTACTGGGATGTAATTTCAAAAATGATAGAATGATCTCGATACGAATCCAAGGCAGACATTTTAACATCACAGTGATCCAAGTTTATGCACCAACCACTGGTGCTGAAGAAACTGAAATTGAACAATTCTATGAAGACTTACAACACCTTATAGAAATGACACCAAAGAAGGATGTTCTTCTCATTATAGGGGATTGGAATACTAAAGTAGGGAGTCAAGAGATAAAAGGAACAACTGGCAAGTTTGGCCTTGGAGTTCAAAACGAAGCAGGGCAAAGGCTAATAGAGTTCTGCCAAGAGAACAAGCTGGTCATCACAAACACCCTTTTCCAACAACACAAGAGACGACTCTACACATGGACATCACCAGATGGGCAGCATCAAAATCAGATTGATTATATTCTCTGCAGCCAAAGACGGAGAAGCTCTATACAGTCAGCAAAAACAAGACCTGGAGCTGACTGTGGCTCAGATCATCAGCTTCTTATAGCAAAATTCAAGCTTAAACTGAAGAAAGTAGGAAAAACCACTGGGCCGGTAAGATACAATCTAAGTCAAATCCCTTATGAATACACAGTAGAAGTGAGGAACAGGTTTAAGGATTTAGATTGGGTGGACAGAGTGCCTGAAGAACTATGGATGGAGGCTCGTAACATTATACAAGAGGCAGCAACTAAAACCATCCCAATGAAAAGGAAATGCAAGAAAGCAAAGTGGCTGTCCAACGAGGCCTTACAAATAGCGGGGGAGAGAAGGCAAGCAAAATGTGAGGGAGATAGTGAAAGATACAGGAAATTGAATGCAGATTTCCAAAAAATAGCAAGGAGAGACAAGAAGGCCTTCCTAAACGAGCAATGCAAAGAAATAGAGGAAAACAATAGAATAGGAAAAACAAGAGATCTGTTCAAGAAAATTGGAGATATGAAAGGAACATTTTGTACAAAGATTTCCATAGTAAAAGACAAAAGTGGAAAGGACCTAACAGAAGCAGAAGACATCAAGAAGAGGTGGCAAGAATACACAGAGGAACTATACCAGAAAGAAATGGATGTCTCGTATACCCCAGGTAGTGTGGTTTGCTAACCTTGAGCCAGACATCCTGGAGAGTGAAGTCAAATGGGCCTTAGAAAGCATTGCTAATAACAAGGCCAGTGGAAGTGATGATATTCCAGCTGAACTATTTAAAATTTTAAAAGATGATGCTGTTAAGGTAAATGTAAAATGTACATGGGGCCTTAATCAGTGGCGGAGCAACATGCTGCAGCCCCCGGAGCAGAGAACAGATGGGGGCATGGCTGACACACGTCCTGGGGGTGTGGCATGTGCCATGGAGGCGTGGCATGCGTCCCGGGGTTCTGCGGCGTGTGGCATGCGTCTCGGGGGCGGTCGCGATGGCACCCTTCCCCTTAAATGGTACCCGGTTCAGCGCACTCCCCTGTCCCCCCTTCGTACGCCAGTGGCCTTAATCCCAGCAAGGTGGCGGTTATGTGGGGGGCAATTCTTCTGCTCCTGCTCAGGGAGATGGTATTCAACCTGTTCTCGACAGGACTGTTCTCCAACTGTAGGATCAGAGCCACTGCCTAGGGCTCAGTGTTTCAGAACCCCCTTCCTCAAGCTGGTACCATGATGTTGAACTATTAACACCCATTATCCCCATTTTGGCATTAAGGTAAAGGTAAAGAGTAAAGGGACCCCTGACCGTTAGGTCCAGTTGTGGCCGACTCTGGGATTGCAGCGCTCATCTCGCTTTATTGGCCGAGGGAGCCGGCATACAGCTTCCGGGTCATGTGGCCAGCATGACTAAGCCGCTTCTGGCGAACCAGAGCAGCGCATGGAAACGCCGTTTAGCTTCCCACCGGAGTGGTACCTATTTATCTACTTGCACTTTGACGTGCTTTCAAACTGCTAGGTTGGCAGGAGCAGGGACTGAGCAATGGGAGCTCACCCCGTCGCGGGGATTCGAACCACAGACCTTCTGATCGGCAAGTCCTAGGCTCTGTGGTTTAACCCACAGCGCCACCTGTGTCCCCGGCGTTAATACGATACAATAATCTTTATTGTCATTGTCCTATACAGAACAATGAAATTGAAAAAAAATCTACATCAGACATTCAAAACCAACAAGCCTGCTATCCCAGCTAGTTTAGCCCCCTAAAACTCTGATACCCCATAATTAAATACAACATACTCCCATAGAGACTACCTTACAATGCGTTTAAAACCAAAATCGCTTTTGGATAGAAACTGTTTCTCAGGTGGCTAGTCCTTGTCTTAATAACCCTGTGCCTTCTTCCAGAAGGCAGAAGCTGAAAGAGATCATTTCTGGGGTGCGCACTATGACACCTGGAAGCATAGATTTGATCCAAGGTGGGAAGAGTGCACCCAATTATTCTCTCCACGGTCTTTACAACCCTGGACAGCATTGTGTTTTCCCCTGGCCGTGCAGCTCCCAAACCACACACAGAGACCATAAGTTAATACGCTCTCAACAGTACAAGGGTAAAATGTCATCAACAGGTCCTTTGAGATATTATTTTTCCAAAGGATTCTCAGAAAATATAACCTCTGCTGTGCTCTCTTCATCAGGTCTTTGCTGTTTTCTCCCCAGGTTAGGTCATCTCTCAACTCCATTCCCAGAAATTGAAAGACCGAGACCTGTTCCACGCACTTCCCCTCAATAATGAGTAGCTGAATGTTCAATTTACATTTCCTAAAGTCCACAATAATAAGCCTATTAGTACTGTAGCAGTATCAGCATCAGTATTATTAGTATTATTCTCTGACCACTGGCCAAGCTGACTGGATCTTTGGAAGTTCAGCAACACATCTGGAGCACACCAGTTTGGGGAAGGTTGTCCAAAATCTGGCTTTATCACCTGAGACCCAGGTAGCCTCTGTGGTGAGGAGCACCTTCCATCAGGTTAGACTGGTGCACTAACCTATTTTAGGCAAGGCTAGCCACAGTCACCCATGCTCTGGTAACTGTCAGGATTGACTACTGCACAGTGTTGTATGTGGGGCTTCCTTTGAAGACTGCTTGGGCACTGCATCTGATTCGCAACACGGCCCTTGGCTGCTAACTGAGACCAGTCACTGGGAAGATACCTTCCAGGTGCTTGAAGATCTTCTGGTCTGTTTCTGAGCACAGTTCAATGGGCTGATGCTTACCTTAAAGCCCTTTGCTGTTTGGTACCTGGGAACCTGAAGGAATACCTTCACCCTATTAAAAAAAAAAGGTAAAGGACCCCTGACCATTATGTCCAGTCGCGAACGA